AACACCCCCCCTCCAAAAACCCCCCAAAACAAACAAAAACAAAAACGAAAACAAAAAAAGAACAAATAAAAACCCAAACAAAAACCAGGAAATCCTACTCCTTTCGTTGAAACTAAGTTCATTGTACCATCCCCAAGTTTCACTGTAGTAGCAGACACAGGAAATGAGAATCCTCTTTTTTTCTGCATTCAGTGGGTTCATCTTGTCTACTTATGGAATTGGACAGGTATTAGTTTTCATTTTTATTCACATTTGTTTATGATTGATACCATTAGTCAGGTTGTCATTTTGATGCATTTTTTTGTTTGTTAGGCAAGTGGGAATGCTCGGAGTGTAAACTGGAGAATGCTGCGGCTCAGAGGACGGATTTCTTGGCTCTGCAGGGGTTGAGGCTGAACGCGAGTGCAGGTATGTTTTTTGTTGTATTAGATCACAAGTTGTGAGCCCATAAACTGCAAGAAAGATCATGGTATCTTTAAATTCTTCTTTGCGTTCCCCTGCTAGGTCTCAGACAGGGTCGACTGCTGTTTCTTCAACTTGCAGCGCTACTGAAATTAACATATTATATGAAATATTATATGAAAGTGGACATGGAAATGGATGAAGAAAGGAGAAAAGTTTAGAGAAAGAAATTTTTCTAGCTGCCAGACTTTGAATCAGGGACCTAATTGAATGAGAGGTGAACACCATACCTCTAGATCATGAGACCCCCTTAGATCATGGAATGAGATTCGCTTCTAAAAAAGGTTGTTCTGTTGTGACCACATGTAGATTACTGTTCTTCTTTGAAAAAAAAAAAGCGAAAAAAAACCCCAACTTAGTCATACTAATGATGGGCACTTTATTTTTTTTCAGATTCTTCACCCCCAACGCCTGCTCAGTCTCCAATCCCTCATGTGTAAGTTTTTCTCTTCTGTTTAGCTTCTTGTTTTTTTTGTTGTTTTGGTGAAGACAAACAAAAAAGTTTCACTTTCTGGAAATACCACTAGTACCCTTGTCACTTGAAACAAAAAACATCATCGCTGATAGTTACATCAGTTGTGTTGCCAAATGGGAATTTACTCCTTAATGAATGTTACTGCCTTTTTAAATCAAATGAATTTCATGATTTTAATTTTGTGCAAGGACTCTCACTGCACTTCTCAAAGATGTTCCCAAAGTAGACGTTTGTGACATAAGATGCTTGATTGGGTCTAATTTTTTAAATTTACGTCCCTGTTCAGGATGATTTATCTTTACTTTTAATGATTACAGTAGGCTTACACGATCCTAGTCCTCTGTTTCACTGTGCTTTCAACTCCTGTTGGTCTCTGAGTCCAATAAAACAAGTTTATATAGAATTTGGAATCTGTAGTTCTTCTGGAGACATCCAGTGGTGTCTTCTGAGACCAGTAGCATTCTTTTTAAAGGATGGGATGAGGAATCTACTCGCAATCAAATGCACTTGATAATAATAATAATAATAATAACAAAAATAATAATAAT